GTGTGCACATAACACACTCGCGAACAAGCACTTAGACATAGATCCAAATGTAACAACGATTTGCAGATTTCTTAGAGAACGACTAGCAATCTCATGTGATTCCACGAACTCGAAATCGCACTATCTAGGGGAAATTCATACTATATTCATTATAATCGACCGTAATCCAGAGGCGATTCAGCTACATTTGAGCAAAGTATAAGAGTAAAACGTACGAATCAGGGGCGCAGACGAGAACGTCGTAGAGGTTGGTAGAGACGAGGACGCGAACAAGAGAACGAAGGCCAGGCGCGCCTATACCGTCGTCGTTGGTGACCATGATGATCGGTCGTTTACCGGATATACGAGCTCTACCGTCAATTTCCATCGCTCCGATCAGAGAAATCCGTAAGAGAGAAGGAGAAAAAGCGTTTGGGAGCTCTCTCCGATGAGTGAAAGTGAAAGGTTTTGTAATTTGTTTTTAGTTACTTCACTTTTATTAAGAACCAACCATTTGTAAAAGGAAATTAAGGATTCATTTGAATATTAATGAAATTACCAATTTATTTTTCTTGTTTCAGGCCATCCACATTGGAGACATTTTACCAATGTCTCATAATATAAAAATATTAAAAACACACTCTCTCTTCCTTTTACTCAACTTTATACCTTCTCATTCATCCTTTTACTCAACTTTATACCTTCTCTTTCATCCTTTCACTCAATTTTTATTAATTTTATATTTAAACACACTTCAATTCTCTCTCTCTCTTATGTCTTCCCCAAAACACAATCTCTCCAAAAATACCCACTATCTCTTCTCTTTACTCAAATTTTATTAATTTTATATTTCAATACACCACACTATTTCAACAAAAAACACTCTCTTTCTTCCTTTTACTCAAATTTTAATAATTTTATATTTAAAGACACCCACATTTTATTACTAATGTGGATGCTCTCAAAATGTAAGTTGTTTTGACAATACTAAGTATTTTTTAACTTTATTGAATATTGTGTGACCACTAATATTTTGCAGTCTTTTATGTAATTGGTCAAATTATTTTTATTATATATATTAAATGATACTTTTTAGTAGAAAAGTAGTTTCTTAATATGCGTGTTTTTAAGTAAAACAACTTATATTTTGAAACAGATGGGGTATATATATTACCTGTCTTAGAGCATCATTAACAATGATACAAGATGAATATCAATACATTAAAGTGGATTACAATAATTAAAAGTGAGAGAGAGAAACGAAGAGACTTGTCCAAAGTCTCTATATCTTGAATCGGTTCATTAGCCTTTTGAGACATTCTCTCTCACGTGTATTCTTTAGGTTTAATGATTATTTATTTTAATACTTTAATATTTAAATAAGTAATTAAAAATATAAAAATGAATATAATAATATATCTAAAGAAATTTAATAAATTTCATTGTTAAAGATGCTCTTAGGCTCATCACTTAATGCATTTCTAATCAAATTAAGTCTTGATCAACATGGTTAAAGATGTTGCCACCCACAAAAAACAAAAAAAAAAGCGGTTTTGGCAACTTGAGAGTTTTTTTTGTTTCTACTCGAAAATTTATAGCATTAAACATCAAAAGATATAAAGAAGGATACAACGACGGATAACCCAGAAACAGAAGCCGAAAGTTTTACGGGAAGCCAAAGTCCTAAAAGTTTACGGGAAACCAAACGAAATTAAAGACACAAGAGAAGAAACAAGGACTAGATCACTACCTAAAACAAAAAAGATCTCATAAACGATCAATCGAATTCTGCAAACTATAAAGACGGACGGCCAAACTAACAGGAAACTAAATGACAAGAGGAGACAAGCAGAAGCCATAAAACACGAAATACATGAAGAGATGAATCTCTCGCTTAACCCTCGTCCCAGGTCACTTATAACTGGCTAAACCATGAGTTCAGTTCAAACATCCAAGACAATGCACGATCCTCATCCACAAAGCACCTGAAGCCTGGCAGACATGAAACCACTTGAAAGAAACCTTCAACACCAAACAATACGGCTAACGCATAGGAGAGGATAGTAGTAGTGTCTGCGAAAGAAATCAACCACAAAAAACACCAAAGAGGAGGAAACTCAGAGACCCGCAGCGAAAACAAATTTCTAAAGCAACAACCATAAAGAGATACATCCGAGCAAAGTTGGACTACACATGAGAGGGAGAAAGGAACCTGAAGCAACAACAAGCCAAACCAACCGAGAGCAAGGCGCAAACTAGTGGAGAACGAAGCGACATCAAGGCCAAAACCAGATCAAGCCGGTCACGGAACCGCCGAAACATCCTCAAACGACCAACCGTAGAGACAGAGAGAAATCAAATCCAGATATGGATCAAGTGAAGATTTAATCATCCAAGCCAAGGTATGGGAGAGATTGAAACTAGATAGACAAGCAAAGAAAGAAAAAAACAAGAGGATCACGGCTCAGGTGCTATGAGAGGATTTTTAGAGAGAGAGAAAAACGAGGGTAACTTGATTGTTATTATTTTTATTTTTTTGGGTAATGTTTAAAACTTAAATTGAAAGAAATTTTCCCAAATAATAATTGCATAAGTATTTTTTATATATATGTTTTCCCATAACAATTTGTTACTCTATTTATTAAATTAAAAATAATTATTTCTAGTATTAATTGACCGTTACAAGTTTGAGTACATTCAACTGTAACTCATATTTAACTATAACTCTTATTCAATTATAAATTATATACATATAAGAAAAAAATAAACTCCGTTAAAAAATGTAAAAAAATCTCGTTAAACGAAAATGATAACAAAACAGTCATCTTCATAATATTTTGTGATACATTTTTTTTCCTTAGTTTATAAATATCTTTGTAACATGTATAACTAGGTTAAACGAATCGGTTTAACGTTATTTGTGTAGTTCATTCGTCTATTCGAAAAGTCTAAAATATTTTTATGTTTGATCTACAATAATCCAAATTTAATTGATTAAACCATATGTCTCCGTCTTCATCCCGAATGATGTGGCCACACTGTGAAAGATGATTCATGTTGGATATATATTGAGTAGTCAGAAATACATGCTGAATATATACTGAGTGGTGATACATACACGTAACAGAAAATCAAAACATGAAGTCAAACAATACGTATCAAAAGCCCGACTATCTATGAATCTTCTTGAAAGCACGAATGTTATTATATTTGAATCTCTTTGAAATGGTCTACGATCCAACATTGAATATCATTCATCTTATGCGTGTAATAGGTAAAAACAATTGACCCTGTTCCACCGAACAATTATAGTATACAAAGCTCACTTTGAAGAGCCTTTAGACGTCTGAATCGTTGCATTCAGTACGAAGAAGGTAAACTATGCACCACATGTCCACATGGTCGTATTATCGGGCATAAAAACAAAGGTGGTGGGAGAACACTTCGGTACAACGTATTAGGGCAAATCATTAGACTCCGACCCGACTTAAGACGCAGATAAAATTCATAAATATCCTACTCATTTCCTAAATAAAATTACTTCTTATTTCCAAATTAAGATTCTAAATTGATACTATCTCCCTAAATACATATGTTTTTTCCTTCCATTGTTCTGAAACCAAGTCTCGTTCTAACCTCTCACATTCATCTCTCTGGCCATTTTCTGACCATCTCTCCGGACATATTTGACCATTTCATTCACGAGATACTTTGTTGTCTTTCATACTGTCAAATTTCTTCACTAATTCCTGTTGATCCACCGCATACAATTCTATGTTCGGCTCGGTGTCACTCTTCTTTATTTTCTTTTATTTTCCGACTTCTAACCTCTCTCTCCATGCTATTCCCGTGGTCTATTCACTCTTCTCCTTTTCTTTTTGCTGACTTAAACATTAGAGAACCGTAAAAAACACTCAAACCATTAAGTTTTCTCGATCTTGGTGTGTTTGTTGATTACGCATGAGAGTCGCTCCATAGTGGTTGGATCCACATACTAAAATTCTCTAAGCGGTACCAGATCATCGAAACATTTTA